TTAACTACATCATGTTTTGAAACTTCATAAACTGATTTTATAAACTTAATAGAAGATGTATATTATGATTGTTAAGTCTACATAAACTGATTTTATAAACTTAATAGAAGATGTATATTATGATTGTTAAGTCTATAAACTAGAATACACTATTTTCACATATAATCATGAAAAATATATATATGTATATGTGTTGTTTATTTTCATGTATATGTGGCAAAACACATTGTTTATCAAAACCATACATGATAACTATGAAACATGTATGTATGTATATATGTGGGGTGTAAATTTGATTTCCCGAAAATAGGGAGTTTCGTTTGTATTGATAAGAAGGCTTATTATAAACTAATAATCAAATGTTTACAACAGAAGCAGAGGGAATGCCCTCTTTGTTTAGTGTGGGGACTTTTGGTGGCTACAGGATACTTCGCTCGATGCTCGTGTCGAGTTTGCTTCCCTTGGACCGTTCGATCGAGGTTTCCATGGAGCTTCAGTACGCAGCAGAAGCTCGAGTCGATAGAGTTCGGGTCTTCTAGTTCGTCGGCGATCGGGGCTCGGAACTAGGAAACGATGCTGCAATGCAAGGATTATGCAAGGAGCTCGGTCTCAACTGCTTTTCTCAAAATTTTTCGACCTCTCTCAAAGTTTGCTAGAAGAGGCTTTTAAATGGAAGAAGGACAGCTTGACTGCTTCTTGAATTATGGGATGTGACCATACATTATTCGGAGATATCCTGCTGCTTATTCGTACCACGAGTGGTCATTCGAAGAGCTGTGCTCTGCATCACATCACGTAGGAGTGGGAAAGCCCCTCCTCGTATGCGTGACAACGGCTGTCGGATGCTTGCGTGTCACGTAGGAGTGGGAAAGCCCCTCCTCGTATGCGTGACAACGGCTGTCGGATGCTTGCGTGGATCTAACCAACTACCGAGCACCGGCGGCTCTCACCCTTCGCTTGGACAACTGAGGTGAGTCGCATTTATGAGGGTGCAGGCTGCTTTGACAGCACTCGAGTGGGTTTGGACAGCTCGCCGAATGCTGGCGGATTCGTCTCTTGACTCAGACAGCCGAGGTAAGTTGCATTTATAAATGTTCAGGTCGACTCGACACCTGCCCAGTCCTTCGTACTGTGAGCGGCCGTTTGACGGTCTTGGAGTACTGTGCCCTCTCCCTTTGGGTCGAAAGAGGTGGGAAAGCCCATCTCAGCACGTGGGGCAGAAAATATCTGGCCATATTAGCGCCCTTGGCGTTTGCTGGCGGATTTGAATGCAGGCTCGGTCTGGTGAGTTGTGATAAAGGGTGAATTCGCGTGGCTTTGGGCGACTTCCCCTTACAGGCGGATTTCTTGCAAGTCCACGGAGGTATTTTTTACCATCTACAATATAAATAAGTATTTGTTTCATATTTAAACTTGAAACCTTATAAAACCAAAACATGTATATATAATTATATATATATATAAAACCAAAAACGTGTATGTGTGTATACGATTGAGCTTAAAGTACCAACACACATAATATAAAACCTAAACTATTTACCCAAGCAATGATCTTGATCTTCAATAATCTCTTCTTGGTAAACTTACGGATGAAACGGTAACTTGGATCTTTAACTTGAATTTCAAGGCTTCATACCACAATTCCGCCAACTTCCATTGGATATAATCGTGAATGCGCAATTCCATCCATCCTCCAACATATTATTTGCCTACAATAAATACAAAACACAAATACTAGACAAACAATATTAGATATAAATTGTTTATTAAATATCATCAAAACAAATAGGCTAATAGGAAGGAATATCAGAATGAAGCATTGCATTTCAAGTCAAGTACAAGTTCAAGCTTCATCTGCAACCAAGACGAGCATATCGAAGATCTCTTAGCTTGAGTATATTATTTCTAGTTTAGATCTTATACTTTATGTGTTATTCTTATAAGCTCAAATATTACACACATATACGTTTTTAGTTTCTCGCTTTTAAGTTAAATCAAATAAATATGAAACAAATAGTTACATTTACAAATATACATGCTAGTTTCATATTTATCATCTTTATTTGGAAATAATATGTTTATGGATTAAAGACTTGTTTACACTATTTTATATCTTTTTTCAAGTCTATTAATCTATTAAAAAGTGTTTCAAAACTTGTTTGTATTGGATTCATTAAAATCAAGTTTTGATGATTTCATATTGTTTAACAGTTTGCATAATAAATAAGTTTTCATAAATAGGAAATTAAAATTGAGAAATTCTTTTTCTAACATGTTCTATTATCTGTTTATAAACATTTCCTCAAAAGTTTATCATTTTTGGAGTTGATTTACTATGTTAAATTGATTTTACAAACTCAAGTATTTCAGCAATTTTTAGAATCTAGAATATCTTCTTTAAAATAGTTATTGCTCTCAAATGGAAGGTGATATTTTATAAGTTCTTTCTCTAACATATTTACCTATATGTTTAGAAACTTTCCTAAAGGTTTCACGATTTTAGGAGTTGAATGACTATTTTTAATTGATTTTATAAAGTCAGCTACGTAGATTTTCAGGTTTCAGATTCTGTCAATAGTGTTGGTGAACAGTTCGGTCAACTGAATAGTAGTTCATTGTAATAACAACTAGTTTTTATAGATTTTGATTTTTGGTGTTTTCCTTCGGTTTTGGACTATTGTTTTGAGCAACTATAAATACCCTTCAGCCCTCAACACTTACTAAAAACGAAGAAAAGTTTTAAAGCAAGTTTTTGTAAGTTTGTTTCAAGTTTTCAAAGATCAAAAGTGTATTTTAGTTTTGTGAAGAGAGTTTCACAAGAAGAGGGGATCATCTCGGTTTGAGCTTCAAGCTTCATATCTCCATCTCTATTATTTTAGAGAAGTTTATCTAAACTCATATTCTAGCTATCTAAATTCTCATATTTATGCTAGATTAATTTGAGTTTAATTTTGATATCATTATACTCATTGTTTACACACACACAGCCCTTGAGCTTAAGAATTTTCACACATAGTAATTTGGTTGTGGGTTGCATCTTTGAGAGTGAGCCTAAACTTAATTCTCATCTTGTTAGAGAATAAACAATTTGTATTTGAGCTTATTTGTCGAGAGATCATATTATAATACATAAGGACACCGAGAGAAGTGGTTGGGAGAGACGTGGTCGATTTCAAGAGGAATGGCATCGATTATAAAGCCTAGGGAGAGATTGTAAATCTGAGAACATGAGGAAGACGACACGGGGTAGACCAATACTTAGAGGGTGTATTGTGTGATTGCATTGTGAGAGTTGTAAAAGTTTTTGGTGAGCTAGAAAACAGATTGTGTACTTGTTTTTGAGATTAGTAGAGATTCTCCTCAAGGGTGAGGAGCGGAGACATAGGTTGAGGGTGACCGAACTCCGTGATCATATTAATTATTTATGTTTAGCATTGGCGCACTTATTCTTATCTCATTGTTTATATTGCCTTTTTTCACATTGTTTATATTTGCTTATCATTGCAAATAATTTGTTTCATAACATACTTACTAGGATATTTCTTTAATAAGTTTTAATTTAGCATCAATATCAGATTAGATTAGTAAATACCCTATTCACCCCCCTTCTAGGGTAATTTTACACATGACTTGGAGTTAGCAGCAGTGGTCTTCACACTGAAGATGTGGAGACATTACCTTTATGGAGTAAAGTTTGAGTTGTTCACGGACCATCAAAGTCTGAGGTACTTTTTCTCCCAGAAGGAACTCAACCAGAAGCATCAATGATGAGTCGAGTTTATTAAGGATTATGTGTTCGCGATTCATTATCATCCAGAGAAGACGAACGTTATAGTAGATGTGTTGAGTAGGAAGCGTCGTCATCAGATTTTAGCTTTGATATGCTCATTATATCGAGATCTTCACACCCTTAGCCGGTTTGATTTTAGACAAGAGATTGGAGGGAGCAGCATATTTTTGGGAGCTTTGGCTATGCAATCATGATGGTCTGATAGAGTGGTCAGTGCTCAGTTAGAGGACTCTTAGATCCGAACCCGGAAGGGGGAGATTTCCATAGAGCCTAAGGCTGATTAGACCATTGGAGTAAATAGAGGCCTTCGAATGAAGGGCCGGTTAGTCATGTCGAATAATCCAGAGTTGAAGAAGGATTTATTTGATGAGACACATCACACCATGTACACCGTGCATCCAAGCACAACCAAAATATACAAGGACCTGAAAGGATATTTTTGGTAGAGTGCCATGCGTAGGGAGATTGCTAAGTATGTGGCTAAGTGTTTTACATGTCAACAAGTAAAGGAAAAAAATCAGAGACCCGTAGGAACCCTACAGCCTTTACCCATTCTAGAGTGGAAGTGGGCAGATATCTCCATGGACTTCATCACAAGATTGCCAAGGTCAAGCAAGGGGAATGATTCCATTTAGGTTATAGTTGATCGCTTGATGAAGTTGGCACATTTCTTACCAGTGAAGATGACTTATACGATGGAGACTTATGTGAGGATTTTCATTCAGGAGATAGTTCGATTGCATGGAGTTTCAGAGACGATTGTATTAAATCGTGGCTTAGTTTTCATATCTCATATCTGGAAGAGCTTCCAGAATTCGTTCGATAGCCATATAGCAGTGTTTTCCACCTGCAAATAGATGGACAAACAGAGAGAGTGAACCAAGTGTTGGAGGATATGTTGCGGGCATGTGTTATCAACTTCCATGGCACCTTGGAGGATCATATTCCATTGATTGAGTTCACCTACAATAATTGCTATCAGGCAATGATATGTATGTTACCGTATGAGGTGTTATATGGGAGGCCTTGTAGATCCTCGATTTGTTTGGCAGAAACGGAGGACAGCTTATTACTTGGGCCAAAACTTGTGAGATAGACTACGGAGAAGGTAGTATTGATTTAAGAGCATATTCTTGCCACTCAGAGTCGGAAAAAGAACTATGCATATTAGAGGTGACGACCTTTAAAGTTTTAGGTTGGAGATTATGTCATGTTGAAGGTGTCACCGATTAAGGGTGTTCAGCGATTTGACAGACGTGGAAAGCTTGCCCTAAGATACATTAGTCCATTTACGATTGTTGAGCACGTTGGTGCTGAATCATATAGGCTAGATCTTCCATCATCAATGTCGGGTGTTTTTCATGTTTTGATGCTTAAGAAGCATTTACACGATTGGGAGCAGCAGAGGGTGATTGATGCACCAGAGTTAGAGATTCAGGCAGATTTGACCACCATCGAGATTCCAGTTTGCATCCTTGCAAGGGAGGACAAGAAGCTTAGAAATAAGGTGATTCCTTTAGTGAAGGTCAAGTGAAACCAAAAAAGAGTTGAGGAGGCTTCTTTGGAGCACGAGGAAGATATGCATCGGGACTACCCTCACCTGTTTGAGCAGGTAAAATGATTACTTATGACTTATTTGTGATTCACGTTATTTATATAGAAACATTTATATTTAACGCTGGAATGAGGTCATTGACACTTAGCTCCTAATCACTCGGAACACATGGTATATATGTGAGGGGTTCCTTTTTTGGATTTTTCGCCCGACGTACTAGTTCCATTTAATTAGTTGTTAAGTGTGAGTATTTGTATTCTTGGTAGTTAAGTGTAAATGAATGCTTGTGATTCATATCTGGGGATTAATAATACGAGATGTGTACGAGAGGGTTTCCTTGTCTGGATTATTCCTTCAACGTGATTTTCTCGTATTATTAATCTCTAAGATACGACTGCGGAATTTCGAGGATGAAATTTTTTTAAGGGGGGGGGGGTGAATGTAAAACCCTATAAATTTTGAAAATATTATGATTTATAATGATAAATGAGTTTTAATCATGATAAATAGTATTTATGGATGAATAATTATGTTAACAATTGATATGAGATCAATAAAGAGGATATATGAGAGTATACAACTGTAAACATGCACAAAAAACGAGTAAAACATGCACAAGATTTTGAAGCTGGAAAGCCTCTGATCAGTCGACTGACGTTCCCTATCAGTCGACTGACGGGAGGTCATCAGTCCACTGATGGCAGGCATCAGTCAACTAATGGCATGTTTTTCATAATCTTTTGGGTTTCGGGTTTGGGCTGTTTGAGTTCGGGTTTGTACCTATATATATACATTTTTGTCACGAAAATTTCATCTTTTCATCAGTTTTTCTAAACCCTAGCAGTCTCTCTCGTTCTTCCACAAACCCTAACCCTAATTTGTGATTTCGGGAGAGCTTTGTGAAGCGAACACCATGAGGAGGATGAGATTTATGATATTTGGCGATGAGGGATTGAGTCCTACTTGTTTCAGAGGGATTTGCACATGTGAAAGGCAAGATCACTTCCCTCCAAACCTCTCCTTAATTAAAAATCAAGTATTTATATGATAATTATGGCTAGTCTCATGTTTAGGGTTTAATCGGATGTTAAATGCTTAATTTATGATATTTAAATCTTAAATCAAAGCTATGAATAGTAGTATAAATCTGAAATTTGATGAGTGTACACGATCATTATCATTAGGGTTGTTTTAACATGATAATTACATTTTTATTTTGGTTTAAATACCCTAATTAACTAAATTAAGCAAGAGTTTGGTTTTAATTGAACAATAAACCCTAGATCCATGAATTTATGTGAATTATCTTGTTTAAACAAACCTCTTATTAAGTGTTCATGAGTATTAGATCAAGTTTCATCTATTATATTAATAAAAACACGAGCTTTGAAGAAAAATAAACAAAACTGAAACCTAGCAGTTTTGGTCTGGTTAGTTGACTGACCACGAACATCAGTCGACTGACGGACGTGCTTCGTCCTTGTGTACGCAGTCAATCAGTCGACTGAAGCCCTTGTCGGTCGACTGATCAGGCCCAGTTTTGTGAGTTTTGATCTTTTTACATGTGAGTTCGGTTTACGAGCGTGTAGTACAAGTTGTGAGTTGATATTTACGCATATTTTGAGAAGTACACATACTGAGCGTGAGTACACACGAATCCATCATTTGGAGTAGCCAAATAGTGAGCATCATTAAGAGTAATGGTTATTATAGTTATGAATGTTTGAGTTGGGTTAGTTGGTACCCACAATGAGACCGTGGATGAACTACACTCTGAGTGTGTTAGTTAGTGTACCATAATAAGGCCGCAATAGACTTCACTCCCGTATGTTAGACCCTAGAGGGGGGTGATTAGGGTCTTATACTAATCTAATCTAATTTTATGCTAATTAAAACTAATTCAAATATTATTCTTGCAAGATAGATATACAATATGATATGAACAAGTGATACGAGTCATCGTACGAGCATCTTTGATCGTAGAATTATCGAAGGTGCGTTGAGAAGAGGATGACAGAAACGCAAGAACAATTCAGTATGTGGCAAAGGAAAATACCCTCTCTAGATTATGAGTATAAAAATATTATAATCCCTCTCTCACAATCTCACTAGAATAGAGTACAACCTCTCAATTTTCTCTAAACCCTAATCTCTCTTGATTAGAATGTCACTTTGATTACTTCTGATTCATTAGAACCTCTAAACAATCCCTTATATAGGTATAACAATATGGATGGCAGAGTGGTAAATAACCAAGCCCAAACCCAATAGGAATTCATGCAAACAAAAACCTAAACGAAGCAGGAAACCTTCGATGAGTCGACTCACGACTAAGATGAGTCGACTCGTCCGAAACTGGACAAAACACAAAACCATCAATGAGTCGACTCATGGCTGAGATAAGTCGACTCGTCAGAGACTGGTGACAAATGGCTGGGTTTCGTGAGTCGACTCAACCTAATGAGTCGACTCATGACTGTTATGAGTCGACTCATGGGCTGAAAACTGGATGCTTCGATTCTTTGATTCGTCGTCTCGTTCTACGCTTTAACTTGCGCTCCACTGTGCTGTTTTACACCTCTATTCTCAAGCTACTATGAGAATCAGCTATCCTCAAGTTACCATGAGGATCACTAAGTTCCGAAGAGAAGATACACCCGTATCATGGATCCCCCCTTTAGGAACTTGAAGTCCCATTCAAGTTAGAACTTTAGGTGAGGAAACTCCCGAGCTCCTCTATCTTTTTACACCACCTGGCCTTTCTAGGAACTTGATAGCAATGTACAACTGGAAATGACTCCTTCGTTCCTTGTCTTGTCGTAGTCGTCTTCTGCTCCAACATGCAATCCTCTTTTGATGGCTTTTCTGGAAGTCTAATGCAATCCTCTTTACAACGGGACAAACTTCTTGCTTGTATTCACTAGCCTCTTTGCTCGCGTCGCCGTCCCTAAGCTTGTCTCTCTCGGAAGAGACGCCGAATGAAATATGAACTTATCACTGCCTTTGGTGAATATATACTTCTGAGCCCGCCTCTTGTAGATTGCATATCTCCCATAAGTACGGATTACCTAGTATAATCTGACAAAATCTAATGGAACTACGTCGCACGTGACCTCATCAATATACGATTCATGGAGTGCAAATCTGATAGTGTATTGATCAACTACACTCAGTCTCTCCTCCTTCTGAATCTATCCCAATGGATAGGGCTTCGGATACTTGACCGTCTTCAGACCTAGCTTCTGAACCAAGGCCTCGGATATCAAATTCTTCTCGCTACCCGGATCAACTATGGCATCAACCAAACTGGTCTTCACTTGCAACTTCAGCACAAAGAGCTGTTGTCGGGGGTCTTCGTCCTCTTTCATGGCCTATTTTCCCACCATAAGGTTGAGACTGCTGTTGGGCTCTGTCATCCCCGAGACTTCTTTTGGACGTTAAGCTATCACATATGCCTTTTTCTCCACCTTCTTCTTCAATCCTCTTGGCTTGAGATGAAGATACTTCTCCCAGTACCGATCAACAACATGCCCTGTCTTCTTGTAGTGACTACAAATCAGTTCTACTTTTCCTGGATCACCCTTCTCCTCCTCCTTATATTTGGAACCACAAGACTTGCCTCGCGTCTATTTGGAGTCTCCCTTAGTCTCGTTGTCCTTCTTCTGCTTGCCCTCAATGGCAATAGCATTCACGCTCACCTCTGCAATAGTCTCAACATGAATAACTTCATCTCCTTCCGGATGTAATCGTTCAATCCCGCCATATACTTTATAAATACAGAATATTCCTTTATCGTAATGTTGAGGACCATCGCCTGCTGTTGGAACTCTGTGGTGTATTCTTGAAAGGTTTGATTGAGTCTTTAGCGCAAGCCGTACCACTTGTACCAATGCTCTTCAAGGAACCCTACCGGATAGAATTGCTTCCTAAGTAGTTCCTTGAACTTGTTCCACGACACCGCCTTCTTCTCCTGCTTGCAATAGGATTTCCATCATGTCAATGCATGTCCTAAAAGCTTCAAAGTCACGAACACGAGCTTCTCCTTGGATGAATATCCGTAGAGTGTGAAATAGGTCTCCATCCGCTCGATCCAATCATCAAGCCTCTCAACGTTGATACTCCCATCATAAACAAGAATCTCCACTTTAGAGTCTATCTTCAAATTCTGGTAAGAACCCTTACCCTATTGGTGTGAAACAGACATAACAATACGGGCATCATCATTTGAATCAGAACCCTCACATTCTCCATCGGACTCCACAAGTTTCTTCTTGCCTTTCGAAGAAGATTCCTCCTTGTTTCCTTTGTCTTGGACAAGATTGAATAATTGCACAAGGGTCGAACCCATTATCTCCATCTGCTTCTCTAAGGCATCTAGTCTTGCTGAACTATCTCCTTCAGTCATCTTCTTCTTCCTTAATTTTTGGACTCCTTCCAATGAAATAAGGATCTTACCTAGCTTCTTGTATTGCGATTGAGTCAGGACCATACACAGGATGCCCCCTCTACTAGATCTGATCACGCTGATACCAACTTGATACGAGTCACTGTGCGAGCATCTTTGATCGCGGAATTATTGAAGGTGGGTTGAGAAGAGGATGACAAAACACAAGAACAATTCAGTATGTGGTGAAGGAAAATACCCTCTCTAGATTATGAGTATAAAAAGATTACAATCCCTCTCTCACAATCTTAATAGAATCGAGAACAAGCTCTCAATTCTCTCTAAACCCTAATTTCTCTTGATTAGAATGTCACTTTGATTACCTCTGATTCATTAGAAACCCTAAACAATCCCTTATATAGGTGTAATAACGTGGATGGCAAAGTGGTAAATAACCAAGCCCAAACCCAATAGGAATTCGTGCAAACAAAAGCCCAAATGAACCAGGAAACCTTCGATGAGTCGACTCACGACTGAGATGAGTCGACTCGTCCGAAACTGGACAAAACACAAAACCAGCAATAAGTCGACTCAT